CCCCCCCCCCCCCCAGCAACGCCTTGGGCCCCGGCACTAAATCCCTCCCCATCCCTTGAATTCCAGACAGAAGCACGTGCATTTCTCACGATCGCCTTTCACTGTTTCCGTTTTTTCCAGCTTTGCTTGATCTGCAACACGCGAGCTCCCCGAGCCGGGCGTGTGCGCCGTGGAACCCTTGCGTTGCTCCGCTCCCCCTGGAGCCCCCAGCCCTGGAGCTGCGGGTGCTCGAAAGCAGGCCCTGTTGTCCCAGGGACTCCTGTCATCTGGTACTCTGAGAGGTTATCTCAGACGGGAGAGTCTAGAGCCCTGTCACGTCTCGTGTAAGCAGCGACACGCTGGCAGGATTGTCACGGAGAGGTGCCTGCGGTTCCGCGTGTCCGTGCCGGTGGCAGCGTGGGGCTGCACGCCTCTGGAACTCGCCTTCCCGGGACCGCCTGTGGCAGTGTGGGCCCCCGGCAGGACCGGGCTGCGACGAGCTGGGCGTGTGGGGGGGGCGCAGCCCGCAGGCTGGCGGTGGTTTTCTGGCCGGGCTGCGGGTTCCCCCCACCGGTGCCGCCCCCGCCCGGCAGATGGGTCTTCTGTGTGCTGATCGCGGCGGGGCCGTGTTGTCCTGGGGGGTTCCGGTCGTGGAACCTTGGTGAAGCAAAGACCGTTTCTGTGGTTAGTTGAATAGCCAGGCGCTCACGTCCCCCCTGGCCTGCCGGTCGGGGCGAGCTACAGACGGGCTCCCAGGCCTCCGTGTTTGCTGTTTGCCTGTCTTGGGAGCACCTTGTGCTGCTCGCTTGGTATCTTTCTTCGATTTGTTTTGGTTCTGTGTCTTTTCTGATAATCACGGAGATAGACGCACGGCCAGCGAGTCGAGCGTCGGGTCGCGCGTTTAGCTCTGCGCCGGGCTGCGGGGAGCTGCTTCCTGCCGTTGGCTCTCTCTCGGGCTCAGCTCGGCTTCGCTAAATGTCGCCTGTCGCAGACAGACCGCCATCCTGTTGTTTGTGTTTAGTTGCCTGCCAGGCTCCGGCTTCTCGGTGTATCTATTTCTCTGCAGTTAAGGAAACTGAGAAATGTGTCCAAAATGGGAAAGTGAGGCAGGACAGGGTGGGGTGGAGGGAGTGGGGACCACAGAGAGAGTCGACGTCCCCCAGTGAGCTCCTGCTGTCCCGACCCCCGAGTGGGGCCCTGACCTTTGGTTCTCCGATGGACACCAGTATGTCGCTCTGTCCTTCACGCGGGTCCCACCACCGAAGCAGGGCCTGTGTGCTCGGGGTGGACGTCATCCATCCTTTCTCTGGGTCCTTCTGCTGCGACCTTTGAGCTGCGCCGGGCCCCCCACCCGTGCTGCTGTCAGATGGGGGGTGTGGGTCTGCCATTCCCCTGAGGCCTGCCTCGCCGACGGCAGGGACTCTCTGCCACGGTGGGTGGGGGCCGGGGTGCCATGACCGCCCGGTGAGGTGGCAGGCCTCAGGCGACGACACAGCTCGACTCTGTTCCTGGTCGGTCACGCACGCAGGCGCACACGCGTGTTTCCGGGATCGTTTGCCGTATAAAGTCCCTGTGTTTAGTCCCACGTCGTATCTTTTGCATTTTCTCTCTAAACCGTAGCCGTTGGGCTGGGCGAGCGCGATTCCGAGAGCGTGTCGGACTGTGGAGGACGTCTGCGGGGGAGCACGGGGCCTAACCGGGCCTAACTGGGGCTCCGCCCTCCTCTCTGTCTTACAGGTACATGTCACAGAGCAAGCACACGGAGGCGCGGGAGCTCATGTGCTCGGGGGCACTCCTCTTCTTCAGCCACGGCCAAGTACGCGGCGGGCCTGCCTTTCCCCCTCTGCTCGGGGCCTGCGGGTTGGAAAAGGAGCGTCCAGGGAGAGGTGTGGCGGACGACCGTGGACCGTCCCTGTCGCTGGCCACCGCCAGGCGGGTGTGCTTGTGTCCGGGGTGCCGTGTGAGGGTGCCGGGTGCCGCGCCGGCCAGGGTCTCCGTCCTCCAGGCGCCCCGCCCGGGGGGCCCCGTGCATCTCCCCGCCACGCGTTTCTGGCTGGACACCGGAGCAGCCGTCCAGCTCTGCCGGGGCTTCTAAAGACCAGCCAGGGCTCTGCTTCTGTGATTCCTACTCACTTCTGTGTTTTGTAGCAAAACAGCGCCGCGGACTTGTCCATGTTGGTCTTAGAGTCGCTGGAGAAGGCGGAAGTCGAGGTGGCCGCTGACCTGTTGGGTGAGGCTTTCTGACTGTGCACGAGGTACCTGTGCACATGGAGTAGTGACGCCCCAACGCGCACGCGCGCGCCCTCTCTGGCGGACGCTGGCACCTCGCCTGCCCGCCTGCCCGCACGCTGAGTGTGCATCGGGGCGGGTCCCCCGGGGGCCAGCTCCCTGCTGTAGTCCACCTCCCCCTCTGCTCCAGGACACAGGCCGAGCCTCCAGGCTGCTGACTTTGCGGCCGAGAGGTCAGCGGGGGGGCTTGGGACACACCAGAACGCCATTTCTCAGCTCCGGGGCGGAATAGTTCTTGTTTCGGTGAACCCTGACCTGTGGTTTGTGGGGCGCTGAACGGCAGCGCTTCTCTGGATGAGGGTCTGTGTTTGTGTCGTTTTAGAAAATCTGGCTAAACTGTTCAGTCTGATGGACCCGAATTCCCCAGAGCGAGTGGCTTTTGTGTCTCGAGCCCTGAAGTGGTCCAGTGGAGGATCAGGGAAGCTGGGCCACCCCCGTCTCCACCAGCTGCTGGCCCTCACCCTGTGGAAAGGTAGGCCCGGTGCGGGGAAAGCTCTCGGCGGGAGGGTGCAGGCCGTCCCCAAACAGCCGCCCCTGTTTCTGCCGTGGTGGCTCTTACTGGTGTTATCTGTCGTCAGCAGTCGCACTCCTGGGCCGCGGGGAGCCAGGAGGGGAGGATTTGCTCTCCGCTGGTCTGGCCCTTCCTGTCCGCCCCCCGCCACCCCCCCCCAGTTTCCTCTCTGGGACATCTTCCCCAGGCGGGCCCTGTGATGACACGGCGTGCTGCGTCGTCTTCAAGTTTAAATCTCCGCTTCTGATTAAGCACTTGGCTCATGAGGGGGCCGGGGGGGATGCCAGGCAGTTTCTGGGTGTGGTTCGCACCCTCAGCTCTGAGTCTGGTGCTCAAGGGCCGGGAAAGACCCTCGGTTTGGTGACCTGGACAGCATTTGTTCAGGAGGGTTTGAACAGCTGTGTCCTGTTGAGTGAGTGCTGCGGGCAGCTCATTCACACCGCGTCAGCCTTCCCGGGGGTCGTCACCGGGCGTCCGCTGGGCAGGGGGGAGGTGCCTTGGTGGGGACACAGAGTCACCTTCCTTCACTTGCAGTCGGCCTTCCGCCGGGTCGCGTCTGTGTTAGCGGCTCCTCCTGGAAGCAGCCTGGGTCCAGAGGTGGCTCTGGGGTCAGATAGGCCTGCCTGCTCCCCACGCCGGCGGGCCCAACGCGTCCCTGCTTTGCCTCTCATCCGGCGGCACGCGTGTGGTGGCCGCCCCCCACGAACCCAGCCCTCGCCCACGCGGGGATGCCGGCTGTGTGAGCGCACAGACTCCTCCCCTCTTCTCTCGGGGTGGCACCGCTCACTGGTCTGCGTGTCCCCACCCGCTGTGACCCACGAGTGGGGCTCCTCCGACCCCTCAGCTGCTGGCGTGCCAGCCCTGCCCGCACCCCAGAGGGCTGCTGGGAGGATAATGGTCAGATGTGCATGAGTTCAAAGGCCAGACAGTCAGGATGCTCTCCTTAGAGGGTAGCTGAATCCCTTCCCCACTTCGACCCAGAGCCAGAGGGGGGCCCAAGCAGGAGCAGCTGGGCGCTGGGGCTGAGGCGGTTTGGGCCCCTCCTCTGCTGGCATGCACTCCCTGGGGGCGCCTTGCTTCCCCTCCCTGGGGCCGCCCTGGCCTTCCAGCCTCGCATGGGCCTCGTGCATTTTCTGTCTGTCGTCTGTCCCCACCAGAACGCCCTCCCATCCACCCGATGCTGGAGTGTCTCGTTCATTGTGGGTGCCCGGAAGCCCCTCAGGGAGAGACCGTCAATGTTCGCCGACCCGGCGGGGTGGGGGGTCCCTGAGGCCCCTGCCCCTTACTCCCGCCCCATCTTGCAGGGGCCGGCCTGGGGTGTGCACGTGCAGGTGGACGGCCTGCTCTGCGATCAGGGGCGGCTACAGCAAACCTGTGTTCCTAGCAAGCATTTATTTGGTGCCCCTTTTGCCCAGTCTATTTGGGGGGGTCCATGGGGAGATGCCAGGCAGAAAACAGATGTGATCCTGCGTCCGTGGCTCCGAGAGACCCTCAGAGGTGGGGGCGCCTGGGCGGCTCAGTCACTTGAGGGCCTGACTCTTGGTTTCAGCTCAGGTCACGATCCCACGGTATGTGGGATCGAGCCTCACGTCAGACTCGGTGCTGGCATTGGGGAGCCTGCTTGGGGTTCTTTCTCTCTCCTTCTCCGCCCCTCCCCTACGCATGTGCTCACTTGCTGTCTCTTTTTTTAAAAAAAATTTTTTTTTTCCCCAAAGTTTATTTATTTTTGGGACAGAGAGAGACAGAGCATGTACGGGGGAGGGGCAGAGAGAGAGGGAGACACAGAATCGGAAACAGGCTCCAGGCTCTGAGCCATCAGCCCAGAGCCCGACGCGGGGCTCGAACTCACGGACCGCGAGATCGTGACCTGGCTGAAGTCGGACGCCTAACCGACTGCGCCACTCAGGCGCCCCTCGCTGTCTCTTAAGTAAATAAACATTAAAAAAAAAGAGTCCTTCAGGGGCCTCAGGGGTTGAGAGCCAGCTTTAAGGCATTCATATTTAGGAACATGATTTCAAAATTCAGGATATAGGCAGTTATGCGTAGTGCCTGAGGCACAGATCCCACGTCCTGTCCTGCCCCGGTGTCCGTGGCTTGTGTCCAGAGCCTGTGTTTAGGGATGTCTGTGCGGCTGTGGCCCCTGGGGACAGGCCTGCGGCCGCGGTGATTGGCCCTCCACAGCTTGCCTCCACTGTCAGTTCTGCTGTGTTATGGCGGTCTGCTGATTGAGGCACACCTCATTCTGGTACGCTTCACAGATCCTGCATTGCCCACACATCGGTCTGCGGTGACCCTGTGTTGAGCAAGTTTATTGGCGCCATTTTTCCAACAGCGCCTGCTTGCTTGCTGTCTCTGTGTCACATTTTGCTAATTCTCACGATACTTCGAGATTTTTATTCTTTCTATTATTATTTTTTTTAAAGTTAACTTTTTTTAGTTTTGAGAGAGAGCACGAGCTGGGCAGAGGGGCAGAGGAGACAGAGAATCCCAAGCAGGCTCCACGCTCAGCCCGATCCCACAACCTGAGCCGAAATAAAGAGTTGGACGCTCAACTAATTGAGCCATCCAGATGCCCCAAGGTTTTTTGTCATAATGTGTCACTGTGATCTGTGACCGTGATCTTTGACGTTACCATCGTGATTGTTTTGGGGACCAGGAACCGCGTTCACGTAAGGGCAAACACAATCCATAACCGTGTGTGTGCTGACCGCTTTCCCGGCCGGCCGCTCCCCCGTCTCCCTCCTCGTCCTCGGGCCTCCCTGTTTGCCGAGACACAGCAACACTGAAACTGGGCCACGTAATGACCCTACAGAGGCCCCTGGGATCCCAGCGAAAGGAAGAGTCTCGCATCTCTGACGTCAGATCACGAGCTACGGAGGAGCAAGCTCGGTGAGGAAGGCGGAAACCGGGCCCCTCGCCCCGGAGGCTTAGCCGGGAGGTCGGCGCAAAGGACACGCTCCGGAAGGAAATTAGCATGGGAAAGAATCAGCCTCCCCGTTTTAGCGGTGGGGACAGAAGAGCGAACCAGCCACGGCATCCCCGTAAGCTACAGCCTAACCCAGAGCCACGCGCTGACTGCCTCAGTTCCACGAAGGAAGGCCGAGGCGGGGAGGAAGCTGCGGGAGGAGAGTCTGAAGCCAGCAGAGGCCGCGTCCAAGACGGAAGAGTGCACGGCGGTGTAGACGCAGCCGCAGGGGGTCCGGAAGATCCAGCTGCGACCGTTAACCGAGGGGCCCGCACGCCACACGGGTCGAGGACGTGCGTCAGGACGTGCGTCGTTGGAGAGACGTCGGCACCTGGCTTCCCAGCCTCAAGGGACCGGCCGACCCTCCCGTCCGGGGCTGATGCAGCAGCCGGTGACCGCAAGCCGGGGCCAGTGCCCAGCGACCCGTCCCGAGTCCCAGGGCCCCGAGCGAGCACGCGGAGTGGGCGCTGCCTGTCCTCTGCTGACGGGACGCCGCCGCCCGCATGGCAGCGCGTCTGTGTGCGACGCCCCTGGTCACCCGAGAGCTCGGACGGACACGGGCAGTGAGACGGGCAGTGAGACGAGCGTGGTGTTCATGCCTGACTCGGCATCCGTCCTGCCGCCCGTGGACGGAGGAGTCGTTTCGGTCTTCAAGGCTTCTTTAACAGGCGCACTTCGTAAGGCTGTAGCTGCCACGGATGGTGCTTCCTTCCTCTGGTGGGAAGAGTCCGCCTAAAACCTGCCGGAAAGGAGTCACCGTTCTCGATGCCACTAAGAACGTACGTGATTCGCAGGAAGAGGCCAAAATGTCAGTTGTGACAGGAGTTTGGCAGAAGGCGATGCCAGCCCTCAGGGACGACCTCGAGGGGTTCGGGACACGGGCGAGGAAGTCCGTGCCGATGTGGGGGAACAGGAAGAGAACAGAACCAGAGGTGGAGCCTGCGGGTGGGGCTGGACGGCTTCCGTCTCACGCTTCACCAGACGAGGACCCGCTCCTTCCGGGTGAGCAAGTGAGGAGGTTTCTGGAGCTGGGACCCACTCCTGGTGAAGGCGCCGCGCGGTCGGTCGAAATGACCGCAAAGGGTTGAGAACAGCGCGTAAACGGAGTCGCTAAAGCCGCAGCACGTGTGAGCGGCTGGACCCCAGGCGTGAAGGAAGTTCTCCTGTGGGTACGATGCTGTCGAACAGCATCGCACGCTACGGAGGGGCCTTTCGGGAAAGAGTCAGCACAGCAGACTTGATCGTCTCATTTCAGAACTTGCCAGAACCACCCCAGCCTCCGGCAACCTCCACCCTGACGGTCAGCAGCCGGCGGCCTCCAGGAAAACCTTCCACCGGCAGAAAGGTTTCAGCCCGCTGCAGGCTTGGGTGATGGTTAACGTTTGTTATTTAAGTTCAACTTCTTGTTTTCACATAGCGCTAGGGCACGCTTAGCAGACTGTGAACACAGCTTTCTGTGCCCTGGGAAACCAAAAACTTGGTTTTGTTGCGGTGATCTGGAACCGACCCCCAGTATCCCCGAGGTGCTCTTGTACAGGGTCCAGTACGGTTCTTGGAGCCAGTCTGGTTCTGGGACAGAACATCCGGGCATGGTTTTGCCCAATTTTTCTGTTCCTGTGGATGCTCTAAAACCAGAAGGTTATTTTTGGATGGTCTGAGGGAGAGAAGAGAGCTCAAGTACACAAAGAAATGGGGGCTCGAACCATTCTGAGCTCCGGAAGGTGGTGTGCGGGGCGCTGGGGGCTGGGGCCAATGGCAGGAAGCAGTCCTGGCCAGCCAGGGGCCACTATTCCCGGTAGAAGGTGGCAGGCGGCTGGGGCACGGCGCCTTAGCCCTGAAAAGGTGTGGGAGCCGGGGGGCCTTGTGAGCGAGACGGGGTCGTGATCCGGTCCGCTCTAGGAAATGGGCCAGGGTGTGGGGAGGTGCTTGCTCTAGGCCGGGGCTGTGCCTCAGCACGGCGGATGCTCTGGACCCCTGTGCTCTGTAGGATGCCGAGCCCCGCCCCCGTGGCCATGGCAGCCAGGGGTGCCCAGGCGTTGCCAGCATCCGGCAAGAGGGAAGGGTGTCGAATCGCCAGTATTGTGAGGGCCAGCAGGCAGGGAGACAGGTTTCCGAGCAATGAGTGTGGGGAGCAGGGGTACAGCGGGAGTCATTTACTGGCGTTGGGAAGGCTGGGATTTTTGTTATTTTTTTAACAAACGTACCAGTAGAGCTCATCCCACGAGCAGCGTACAGTAGGAGTGCTTCAGGAGCAGGTTAGTTGGAGCACACTTCTGGAAGGTCCTTCCAGCCCCCTTTTGTGCTGTTAGCACTAAAGCTTCCTGCCCTGGTGAGAGGTGTGGCCCCAGGGAACAGGCTCAGAAGGTCGAGGCCAGAGTGCCCCCAACTCACCTGTTGGGGTGCAGGTTCCGGTTTGGGGCCTGAGGTTCCACGTGTCTGTCCGGCTCCTAGGTGACTCTGCGTTGAGCGGGACAGTGTGGCCCTTCTTGGGAAACAGCGGGGCCGAGCCGTGTCCTCACCACTCGCAGGACGGGTCCATCCTGACTGGGACATCAGTCCTGGTGGGGACATCCAGTCCTTCATCCAGCAGGGCTTCTTGAGGGGGACGGACCACAAACACAGAGAGGGAAGTAGTGAATGTGGAATGTGCGTCGGAAGGTGGACAGAGGGTGGGTGGCCGTCAGGACGGCAGGGGCCTTCGTGTGGCCTGGGGGACAGGCGGGCCCGACCTGGTCCTGGCACCACTCTGACCTTCGCTGCATCTGCGTGCCGGGGTTTGCGGGGCCTGCGTCTCAGTCGTCAGAAGCATGAGTCCGGGGGTCTCGCGTCGGCCCGCTCTCGTGAGCCAGCTAATGCGGACGCCAGTGTGGGGACTTCTGCCCGAAGCCTGCCCTCCCACCATGGGCATTTGAGGCGGTGAATGGGACGCCTAGGGGGTGGGTGTAGAGCGCACTCAGGTGTGTGGGGGGCGGGGATGGTGTGCGGGGCACAGGCAGGTGTGCGGGGGCCGGGGGGTGCGGGGCGGGTGTGCAGAGTGCAGGGGGTGCCCAGGGCGGGTGTGCGGGGCACAGGCAGGTGTGCAGGGGGAGGGGGGCCGGGGTGGGTGTGCGGAGCGCTCGGGGCTCACGGTGTCCGCTTCCCTCCCACAGAGCAGAACTACTGCGAGTCCCGGTACCACTTCCTGCACTCGGCGGACGGCGAGGGCTGTGCGCACATGCTGGTGGAGTACTCCACGTCCAGGGGCTTCCGCAGCGAGGTGGATATGTTCGTGGCCCAGGCCGTGCTACAGTAGGTACCCGCCTTGGCTCGGCCTCCTGTCACCTGGCCGAGACGCCACCCAGGGTCGCCACCCCGCGACCCTGCCGCAGACCTGTCGGGGAGGCTGTGTGTTGTCGCCCCGGTCCCCCGGACCGTTTGTGGGATTTGAGTCGGGCGGCCGCGGAAGGGAGTGTTCTGACCGGCGTCCTGCCGTTCCTCCCCGTGTTCCGTTCTCTAGATTTTCTGGGTGGCAGGCCGCTGTCATTCGGGGGGTGTGCATATTTAATAAGATGTCCGAGGTGTCCCGGGTCGAGGAGCGAGTGTGGGTCCCGGACGTCTTGTGTGAGGCTCCCCCGCTCCCGTTGGTCTGCCTCCCTGCCCCCTCGCCAGCGGTTTTCCGGGGCCGTCGAGCACGCACAGCTTGGGAGGGAGGCAGGGTAGGCCCGCGCTCCCGCCTCGGAAACCCCTGGAATCAGTGGCCGGGTGTTGGAACAGGACACGTTCTGTGCATGTGAACGGGAGGGGGGGTCACAGCACGCTCGCTGGACCTGACGGCACCTCGGAGCTCCCCGCCCCGCCGCACGGCGGCCTGATACGTGTCTGTGCCTCTAAATGGAGAGTTTCGGGGACTCCAGAGCCCCCGAGCCCAGCTGTGTGGTGCACGGCGCCTGTGTGTGGATCCCGAGACCACCCGGTCACCTCACTCGCACCTTGACGAGGAGGGACGAGCGGCCACGGGAAGGCCGTGGAGATGGCCCCACGGGGCGGGAGTCAGAGCCTGTCCCACCGCCCCGCACGCTCCCCGGGGCCCTGGACTGACTTGCTGGGCGCGCGCGGTCTGGAGTTCGAGAACCGCCACAGACACGGTCGCCCTCGCGAGCTTCACGTCCTCGCCTGGAAATTGCGAATGCGGAGGGGTGCCGTGCATGGCGGGGGCCCCCGTGCGCTGTTTGGGGACGGCCTTCTGCTGTGCCCCCAGAAGTGTCCCAGGTCTGGGGCTCGCCTGAGCGTCTGTGCGAGTCCCTCGTTTCTGCCTTGGTACCCTGCTTACTAGGGCGTCCCTTCCAGGTTTCTCTGTTTAAAGAACAAAAGCAGCGCGTCAGTGGTGTTCACAACGTACACGCAGAAACACCCGTCCATCGAGAACGGCCCTCCGTTTGTGCAGCCTCTGCTGAATTTCATCTGGTTTCTGCTGTTGGCTGTAGATGGGTGAGTTGTGTGTGCGTGGAGGGGTTGTGTGTGTGTGGGGGGGGGGGGGCGGGGGTACAGAGCACACAGAGGGATGCGCACACGTGTGGAGGGGCGCGTGCGTGTGCCCTGCACGTTGGACTCTCCTGGACATCCGTGCTGCCATCCGTGTCGCTTCAGGGGCAAACTGACCGTGTTCACGGTGCTGTGTGAGCAGTACCAGCCGTCCCTCCGGCGGGACCCCATGTACAATGAGGTGAGGGGCGCGTGGGGCCGGGCGACGGCTGGAGGAGGAGAGGGCACGGGGAGCCTTGGGGACCGGGAGGGTGGGAGGTCGTGTCGCCCGCGTGTCTGCGCCCCGCTGAGCCCGTGCCTCTGTCTCTTGCAGTACCTGGACCGGATAGGACAGCTGTTCTTTGGGGTGCCGCCCAAGCAGACGTCTTCGGAGGGGGGCTTGCGGGGGGAGGGGGGGGGCGGGCGCCGGCGCGGTCCTCTCCCGGGCTCCGTGTCTGCTCGGCCCTGAGGTCCTTCTCCTAGTAGACTCCCACACAGCCGTGCGGGCCCTGTCGTCCCAGGGCCCCGTCGGTGGGTGTTTTCTTTTATCTTTCGCTTTTGTGGTAAAAATACATGTATCGTGAAATTTGCTATTTTAACCACTGCTAACTGAACGGCTCAGGGGACTGAGCACATTCACGCTGCTGTGCAGCCATCTGCATCATCCATTTCCAGAATGTTCCATCTCCCCACGTTGAGATTCTGTCCGTTATACACGGACCTCCACTCGCTCCCCCAGACACGGTCCCACCACCTACCCTGTGTCCGTGAGTGTGACGACCCCAGGACCACGTGTGAGTGGGTCCCAGTGCGCGTCCTCCCGTGTCCGTGAGTGTGACGACCCCGGGGCCTCGTGGGAGTGGGTCCCGGTGCGCGTCCTCCCGTGTCCGTGAGTCTGACGACCCCGGGGCCTCGTGGGAGTGGGTCCCGGTGCGCGTCCTCCCGTGTCCGTGCGTCTGACGACCCCGGGGCCTCGTGGGGGTGGGTCCCGGTGCGTGTCCTCCCGTGTCTGTGCGTCTGACGACCCCGGGGCCTTGTGGGAGTGGGTCCCGGTGCGCGTCCTCCCGTGTCTGCCTTGTGTCACTCACCATGGTGTCTGCAGGGTCCGCCCATGTTGGAGCAGGTGCCAGAACTTACTTCCCTTTTAAGGCCGAATAGTGTCTCGTGGGTGGATGGCGCGTGTTGTGTTACCTTCATCTGTGATGCACACGGGTCGCTTCTGCCTGTTCGCTGTGTGAATTTGCTGTTGTGAATATGGGGTGCACCTGTCTGCTGGGGTCCCTGCGCCCAGTGCTTTGGGTAGTACACCCCAAACTGGACTCACCAGGTCACGTTGAAGTTCTGTGTTCAAGTTTGGAGTCGCTACCCGACTGTGCCCGACAGACGTGTCCCACCAGCTGTGCGCGAGGGGTCTGGTTTTTGCACATCCCCGCCCACGTTTGCCGTTTTCTGTGTTTTACTGGCAGCCGTCCTACAGGGTGTGAGGCTGGGAGCTCGCTGTGGCTGGGTCGCATCTCCCTAATGACGAGGGTCGTGTAGCATGTTTTCTCGTGCTTATTGGCTATTTGTACACCTGTATATCTGGTCAAGTCACATGCTTATTTTTGAATCAAATTGACGAATTCTCTACACTTGTCAGATGTAAGATTCAGAAATATTTTTTCCCGTTTTGTGGATTTTTTTAAGACTGTATTTATCGTAATAAATGTTTTTAATGTTTATTTATTTTTGAGGAAGAAAGCATGAGCAGAGGAGGGGCAGAGAGACAGGGAGACACAGAATCCAAAGCAGGCTCCAGAGTCTGAGCTGTTAGCACAGAGCCCGATGTGGGGCTCGAACTCATGAGTCGTGAGATCATGACCTGAGCTGAAGTTGGACGCTTGACCGACTGAGCCACCCAGGTGCCGCCAGACTTTATTTTTTTAAAGTAGCTTAAGTTTCACAGACGTAAAGAGGAAGGCCCCGAGATTTTCCATGTACCTCCCTGCCCCTCACAGCCCTTTCTGGTACTTGCATCCCGCGACAGAGGGGGGACTTGTTGAAATTGTACCTGCACGGACGCATCACTCTCATCTGAAGTTCATGGTTTACATTCAGGGTCACTTTTAATGCCATACATTTATAGGTTTAGGCACACACACCTACCATTAGTCATTCAGAGTGGTTTCTGCCCTAAAAATCCTCTGTGCTCTGCCTGTTCGCCCCTCCCAACACCCAGCAGCCTTTTCACTCTGGGTAGCGTCCTCTGACGCAGAACTTAAAATTTTCACCAAGTCCGTTTGTTTCTCCTCCGTTCCCTGGGCCTTGCGTGTCCCAGCCGCAGTCTTCGGCTGGTCCGGTGCTGGGAAGCTTTCACTCGGTGTCTTCTGCGAGTTTTACTGTTCTGGGGCTTACATTTAGGTCCTTGATCCACTTTGAGCTATTTTTTGTGTGCACACGAGGTCGGGGTCCAGTGTCCCGTTTGTTGAAGAGACTGATCTTCCCATGAGTGGTCTTGTCACGCTGGTCAGATGTGTTTGACCCCCATGTGCTCGGGCCTGTTTCTGGCTCTCTGTTCTGTTCCATGGGTCTTTGCTTGCGTGCGTGCGTGCGTGTGTGTGTGTGTGTGTGTCTTTGCCCACACCACACCGCTTTGAGCTCACGCAATCAGGAAACGTGAGCTCTCCGGTTTTGTTCTTGTTCAGGGTAGTTTTGGCTGTTTGAGTCTCTTGCAATTCTGTATGAATTTTGGAGTGGGTTCTTCTTTTCTTGCAAAAACGTCGTTGAGATTTTGACAAGGACTGCATTGATCCTGTAGATGGCATTGGAGGGTATTGGCATTTACACGGTATCACGTTTTCCAACCCGTGGACACGGAAAGCATTTCCATTTATTTGTGACTTCAGTGACTTTCAGTGTTTTATCATTTTCATTCATGAGTCGTTCAACCTTTCAGTTAAAGCCAGTGCCTCAGTGTTTTATTCTTGTGGATCCTGCTGTGAATGGAATTGTTCTTGATATTTTTTCCGGTTATTTATTATTGGCGTAGAGAAATTCAGCGGATCTCCACGTGCTTTGTATCCCGCTCCTTTGCTGAATTCACTTGCTCCGACGGCTGTTTCGTGCAGCCCTTGGGGTTTTCTGTGTGGCAGGACCACGTCCTGCTCAAACACGGTGTTGCTGCTTCCTTTGCGCCGTGGGTGCCTTTTCCTTCTCCCTCTCCCTGCTTGCTCTGACTGGAATTTCCAGTTCGGGGTGGAACGGAGGTGGCGAGGGCCTCCTCGCGTGTCTGCTCCTCGAGGAGGAGCTCTCAGGGTCTCGCCCCTGCGCGTGACGTCCCCCGTGGGCTCTCCAGAGACGGCGGGGACCGTGTGGAGGTGGCTCCTCCCGTTCCCGGTTGGTCGAGTGCCGTGATGACCGCGTGGGGCCGGCCAGGGCCCGATCCCGCGTCCGCGGAGGTGGACGATCGCGTGGGTCTTCCCCCCTCTGCCCAGGGGCCGCGCCCCCCGGCCGGCCTGTCGTGGGGAGCCCTCCTCGCGGTGCAGGCGCGAGGCGCCTCGGGGCTCGTCGTCCGTGGGTGCGCTGTCGAGGTCTGTCTGCCGGCGCTCTGCTCGGGCGTTTGCATCAGCGCTCACGAGGGGCGGCGGTGCCCGATCTCCTCCCGGCGCCTTGGGCTTTGGTATGGGGGCCACGCCGGCCGCCTGGAAGGAGTTGGGACGCGCTCCCTCTTCCTCAGCGTTTCTGGAGAAGTCTGAGAAGGACCGGCGTGGGGTGTCCTTGAAGCGTTCGGCGGGACTCGCCAGTGAGGCCGTCGGGACCAGGACTTTGCTCTGTTCGGGGGGCGGGGGTGGTTCCCGAGGGGGGCTCCTGACTCGTTTACCGGCCCGTGCACACCGTGCATTTCTTCACGGGTTCGTCTTGGCCGCTGTTAGATGCCAGGTTTCTGACCCGGCGTCTCGAGGCCAGGCCTCCGCCCCTCGTCTGCCTAGCCTGGCGGCCCCAGGCCTCAACGCCACGTGCCGTCGCCTTCACTGGGGTCCCATGTCAACTTCGACCTCCACCGGGGCAGGGACCATTGTAGCCCTTCATCCGAGAGTGGCTTTTACGAGCCTCGACGTGCTACTACTTTTGAGCAGGTAGGTGTTACCTCGTGGAGTTCGTATTCGCCAGCACGCACCGAAATCCGCCTTGCCGTTCAGACTTCTTCCCTTTCTCAGCTTCCTTCTGGAAGTAACTGCAAAAACACACAGATGGCTGTTGTGTGCCCTTGCGACGTATACTCCACACTGACTGCGCCTGGTTCTTGATGGAGCTGAGGCTGCCCCAGGTGCCAGGCTCAGCCGCGGGCTCGTCCCGCAAAGCTCCGTGACCCTGCCCCCGTCCTGCTGTCCGAATCCACGTGGCACCCTGCCTCGTCGGTCCCTCGGGCTTGGGCTGGGTGGACGTTTGCCATTTTGATGCACGTGGGCCAAACCGTGGAAAGGTCTTCCTGAGACTGTGTGGAAAGGCGTCTCCTGGGGAACACGGTTTGACTTTCTAGTTGTAAACTGTGTGTCTGGCGTCCGGATTTGTGCCGGGGAAGGCGGGGGGTGGAGACCCACCTTCCTTCCTGTGCCAGCTGCGTGTAGGTGCTCTGTGGTTTCACCCGGGCCTGGGGGCTGCGTGTTTGCATCTGTCGGGCCTGACGTGCAGCCTCCCTCCTCGCCCCGCGCATCCTCCTACTTCGTGCTCGCTCGTTTCCCACCAGAACTTCAGAGTCGGCCCTTCCGGCGCCCAGAGTGCTGCTGGTGTGTTCGCTGGACCCGGGTTAGCGGCAGATCGGGGACGATTCTGCACCTTCGTGGCAGTCTGTCCCGAGAACGTCGTTCCCGTGTGCGTGTGTTCTTACTTTCTCGGCGGCTTGGCTTCAAGGACTTTGTAAACTGCTGACCCCGTGGTGACACAGTAGTGGTTCCGTGGGTGAGATCAGAGTGAGGCAAAGTGTCCGTGGTGACTGCGCCAGTGGGCGACAGCCATTAACGTCTCCGCGTGTGGCCCTGGGGTCTCTGACGCATCCCGACCCATTTCTGGATACCTTTAAGTCAGCACGTGTGTAATTTACGGCCTCGTGTCGGTGGATGGTGACGTCCCTGTGACCGCGGGTTACTGACAACTCCGAGGGCTCCGTGCACAGGCATCCGCGTTCCCAGGGACGCGTGGTGGGGCCCCCGCGCCTCCCGTCCGGGCCCCGGGATGCGGTGCCGTGGAAGGTGGGGTTCCCCGGGCAGGGTGCCGGCAACGCGGGGCCGCTGTGCCTCACGGCGCCTGCGTTTGCTTCCAGGGAACCTTCTGAGCAGCCTCATGGGCGCCTCGGAGCAGGAGGGCGAGGACAGTCAGGACGACAGCAGCCCCATCGAGCTCGACTGACCCCGCCTGGCGGCCCGCACGAAGCCGCCCCGAGCCCGGGCCCCCGCGCCCGGGGGCTCCCGGTCCGCGGCTGCCGTGGCCGCGTTGGCGTCTGCGCGCCCGCCCCGGGCTGCGCCTCCGCCGCGGCTGTGCTGGCTGGGCCGCGCTGCACCTCCAGACTGACCACAATAAAGCACGGGCCTTGCCGCGCTCCCACCCTCTCCCTGTCCTCTGTGTCTGGTTTGCTTCGGGAGGCCGCCTGGCGTCCGACGGAGGCCCGTCCCCGTCACGGGTGGCGTGGGGGGTGGCCGCCGCCCAGCCAGCACCACCTGGACGTCCTGCGGTGGCCCGGCCACCGGCGTCCCGGAGAGCAGCGGGGCGGCTGCTCTGTGCCAAATCCCGAGGCCACGGCCGCTCGGGACGGGCCTCGCGAGGGGATCGGGAGTCCTTTCCACGTCTCAAAAGGCGGTATTTATTTTCATTGGGTGGTTGATTCCTCTGACCTGACGTTTTAGGGTTTAACCGAACAGCCAGTCTGGGAGTGAGCGGATCTGCCCTTTCTCGCTGATGCCAGACCCGGTGTTCGTTCCCAGGGCAATTACAAGAGGGGAGACACTTTATTTTTTCACAATTTAAAATAAGAGTTGTAGATTAATACACAGTGATCATGCATGGCAAGGAGTAAGATACACACACTTTTATTGACTGTAAAACGAAGTTTAAAGGAAGGTTTGTGTCAATTGTTGAGTTTAAATAAATCCTTTATACTGGGTTTTGCCGTGCTCGTCCTTTCTGAGTGCGCAGCAGGGAGCGGCTGCCGAGTCCGGCCTGGCCAGGGCTGTCTGGACCGTGCCCACGTGGGTGCTGTGGATGGTCACGCACGGCCAGTCGCGGGAGGTCTCGTGGCTTTTGTGTAAACATGTGGTGGTGCATACGCAGATGTGGAGACACCACAGACAGGCCGCGGGGGAGGTGGGGACAGACCACGCCGAGGCCCCCCCAGCTGCCCGGCGTGGCTCTCCGGAGCAGGTGGTGGTACAGGTTGGCTCTGAAGTGCAGGGTCCAAGCCCACCACGGGCGCCTGGCTCCTGCCGTGACGTTTGTTCCGGAACTACAACGCGCCCCCAACGCAGTCTGCGTGAGGGGAGTTTGAGCGGCATGGCGGTTTTTCTGTGCGGTTCTGCCGGGAAGCACAGCACCCCTGTACAGCTGCTTCCTGCCTGCACCCACGTCCCCCGGCGGTGGCGTCTGCCTGGACCCTCAGCACACGGAGACCCGCGTCGCCCGTGGGTGCGGCCCTTTTACCGGGCAGTTGTGAGCGGCGCCTGCAGCCGGGCGGGCCTTGTGTCCCCACATCTCCGCCGTACGGCACTAGGGAGCAGAGGCCACCACGACCACCAGCCCCGAGCCGGCCTCTAGCCCAGCACCCGGACTACCAGCGGCCCGTCACCCGGACGTCTGTGAGGTAAGCTCGGTGACACCCTTTGTGGACCATGAGTTTCCTACCTTGTTTCGGAAATTGTTCCTGCCAGTGGTGAAATCGTTTCTTGTTGAAACGGGCACAACACCTCTGCCTCTGGGCCAAGAGAGGGTCTAGACTACCAGTCCCAGAGGACTTGTGGCCTGGGCCACTGGCCACTCGGGGAGGGGACCACGAGGTTACCCGTTCCACCTTGGAGGAGACTCCTCGTTTCCTTGGGGAAGACGGGCCAGTGACGGTGGCTTATGGTGTGGCGGCACAGCTGGGGAGGAGCGGGGCCAGTGGATGGTCTCTCCTGGGGGCAGGTGGGGTCTCTGGGACTCTGGCAGTGGCCCTGGCTGACCTCTGGCTGGCCTCACCCCCAGCCCAGCTGTCTGGGGGACCCCTACCCCGCAGTCTCTGTGCAGTAGGGTCAGGGTTGAGACGGCGGGGGGCATGGTGCAGCCTCGTACTCCCTCTTGACCCTGCAGCCGCGCCCCCGTTCGGGTGTGCAGGGGTCCGAGCTGGTGGGCCGTGTGCTCAGATGCAGAGGGGAGAACAGGTGGTGGGAGCCCGGCCCACGAGGACAGGCAGAGGCCCTCGGACACCCTTTCCCTGGAGGTGTCCCCACTTCCTGCCATGTGCCTGAGGCCAGTGGGTAGATCTTCCTGGGGCCCAGAGCCCCCCCCCCCCCCCCCCCCGCCTCCGACACCAGTGGCCACTTTAGGATAGGATGTGAGGGTTGGTGTGATGGGTCAGGACACCCTCCCTTGGGGACTGTCTTCCGGTCCCCTCAAGGGCTGGTCCAGGCAGGACAGGGGTGAGGGGCACCCGGATCACCCAGCTGGTAGCCCGTGCCCTGCACACGCTCCTCTGTCCCCCCACCAAGGGTGGGCAGAGCCAGGGCGCCCGGGGACGAGGCTCGGCGGCTGTAACTACCGTCTGGCCAACAGCACACTGGGGTCCTGTGGGGGGCAAGCTCTGCCTCCGTCTTCCGGGCGGCGGGGTGGGTCACCAGTCCGTGCCCAGCGGCAGCAGACAAGAGCCGACCCTTCATCCTCCCCCCGCCCCATCCAGGTGCCCAGCAGGTAGGCAGGCCTGAAACCCCGACCCGGGGTGTTACAGCTCACTGGGGCCTCTGCCCCCCAGACCCTCGTGTACACGCCAGGTCAGCTCCCTGAGGACGAGGACGGTGTCTCCGTGCCAGCACCCAGGACCGCACAATTGACACACAGCAGGTGCTCAATAAATACTTGTTGAGGAGATACGTAGGAGGGGCCGGAGGGGAGGCATGCAGGCTGCCCGCTGTCCCCACAGCCCAGCCTCCTGCTCAGGCAGGGTCCTGCTCTGGTGGGCAGGGGGCAGGGTGAGTTGGTGAGGGGCCGCTGGGCTGCCCTGAGACAGGAGGCTGGGCCCAGGCCCCGAGGAAGGGTGGTCCAGTGGACGGGGGGTGGGGAGGGGGGGTGGGCAGGGTCACATCCATGGGCAGCAGCATGATGGGGGCAGAGGTCAGGTCAGCCGGCCTGCAGTGAGGCTCTGGAGAAACGAGTCTTAGTGGCTAGAGCACAGGCCCCGCCTGGCCACGTCCAGGGCTGCCCCTGAGGGCGGGGGGCCGGGAGGCCTGTCCTCCATCACCGGCCCCCTCTGGCTGCTGACTCTTCGGTGGCATTTCCCATGAGTCCAGCTCCCTCGGCCTCCACGACCAGCTCTTGTTAGGGTTTATGCTTGAAGTGGGCTTCCACTGGAAAAGGACAGGCGTCCGGCTGTGTCACAGCCACGCAGGAAGTGTTGGGCTCCCCCCCCCCACCCCGCCCCCCTGCACTCACCTGCGTACTCCTGGGGCAGCATGGGTCTGTCCACGACCTTCCGAAAAGCTTCCATCCACGCCCGCTGCTCTGACTCCGTCTCACAGGCCAGCAGGAACCTGCGCTCCGGTGTCACGATGGTAATGCCGTGTGGCCAGTGGTGGCCCTGGGTGGACGGTGGGAGCCCGTCCAGCACCGTGTAGCCGCTCTCCCTGCTGCCGATGAAGACTTCCCCGCGAGCAAAGGCGTCCTGTGGGTCGGGGCCGGGCTGAGCCTCGGGGCCAGGCAGCCCAGGCCCCAGGGATGATGCGGCCCTCCCCTCCCGTCTGTTCTCCCCGCCGCCCGTGGCCGGCAGCCCTCGGCCTGTCATCGTGGGAGAGGAGGCATCACCCGTGAGGGCCCAGCTGACCCGGGCCGAGGCCCGTCCTTACCAGGGGATCTTTGAAGTACATGAGCCTCCGGTCGTCCATGGTGAACCAGCGCTTCCGGAAGCCTTCTGTTTGCTGTGAGAGAAACCCGGGGACTGGTCACTTAGCCTGAGGGCAGGGCCCCCACCTGTGTCCCTTCTTCACTCGGCCTTCTGTAGGCTTGCTGCGTCCTCTTCCGTCCGCCAGATGGTGCCCCAGGACCTTTGCACTTGTACTGTCCCACTTCTGTGCCCTCCCCGCTCCTCCCCTCCCCTCCCCACCAGTTCCCCTCCTTGCTGCTCTGTGCATCTTGATCCTCCCTAGGGGCTCAGCTGGGGCTCAGCCTCAGAGTCCTGTCTGGGCCATGGGGGTCACTGCGTGCGGGCCTCCATGTGGCAGGGAAGGGGGCCCCCGGCGGGTGCACAGACAGGTACCAGACGGACGGGCAAAGGCACGAGGCAGGACCTGCACTAGCTAGGTTGAGTGGGTAGGGCTAACCAGAGCCCCACAGTCCTGGGCCCACAGGGCCCCTGCTTACAAAGGTTTTGGGGTCAAGATGACCCGTTAGAAGCGTGCCGAGAGCACAGTGAATCTTCGCCAAGGTGTGTCGCTGACCCTTCGACCCTGCACGGCCACCCCAGCCCCTGGAGGCTGAGACACTGGCCTCCAAGGAGGCCCCGGCGGCTCAAGTCAGCCAGTCAGACTCACCTTGGGCCCGGTTTTCTCCATGTATCCTTCTTTCAGGTAGTTCCGGGAGAGCTTTGGCACCAGCTGGGGCAGAAGACAGGCTCAGGCCTGGGCCTTCCCGGTCCCCTCCCACCCCCCGTGTGTCCCAGCCCCTCCATCCCACTCTCATAGCCGCTGAGCTGAAACGCCCCAGCAGAAAGGAGCAGCGTCCATGGGGGCCCTCGGCCGGCCCCCCGGCCCAGCATCCCAGGCTCGGGCTGTGCCCCTCACCCCCTCCAACAGACACGAGCAGCCACCACTCACGTCGGCGTCGCTGGCCCCCGGGAACGCCACCTGCAGGTAATGGAAGCGGGCCGCGCGGAGCGCGTTGAACCAGTCCACGATCTCCTGCGGGTCAGAGGCTGGTGTGGGCCTGGGCCGTGAGCTCCGCCCCCCAGACTGTGTGCTGGGCGAGGCCTGCTGGGGGGCGTGGCAGCCCTGAGCCGGCCCAGGGTCGGAGTGGCGACGTCTGAGCCGGCCGGCCCCTGGCCCCGAGCTGACCCTGCCCCGGGCTCTGGGCGGCTCCTTTCCTCTCCTATGGAGCTGCGGTTACAAAGCATACACGTGGCCCAGAGGGAGGCCTGTTTGTAACCCCACCCGGGGCTGCCACCCCTCTCCTCTGAGGGAAAGAGCAAGAGGGTTGCTCTGCGGGAGGGGAGGGAGCCCCATCGCCGGGCAGGGTGGACCCCAGCCCCTGCCTCTCCTGGCCGCCACGCCCCGCTCTGGGCCCCCACCCACCCGATGCTGGAATCTGCCCCAACCTCGGACGAGCCCCAACAGCTCCTGCCCCTGCCAGCGCTTGGTACCCATCAGGCCGCCTCTCCCCGACCGCTGGGCAGCCCACTCCTGCCCACGGGTCACCCTGCGCCCGCCTCGGCCACAGCCGCCCCCCTCCCTCCTCTGCCGTGCCTGGCTGCTGCAGATCCCACACCCTCTAACCATCCCTGCCCCTGGGGCCGGCTAGTGTCCCCTTCTGTTCTGTCCCCCACCCTCCTACACAGGACGTCCAATCCAGGCCGTGACCTCCACCTGGGCCCTGCCCACAACCCCGTTCACCCTTCCAGTGACCACTGGGCTCTCCCATTTCCTCACCAGCCCCGGAGACCAGAAGGCACCGTCTCCCACCTGCTCCCCGGCGCTGGCCTCCCACCTCACGTCAGGCCTCCCTCAGATCATTGAAACCACACAGCTGGGTGAGTCATTGGCAGTTCGGTGACACTTTCCCAGCAAACCGCCGCTGTTCCTCCAATAGAGGTGAAAGTCCAGAGCGTGGCCGCAGGCCCTGCGGGGTCGGCCCAGCCCGTGCCCTTCCTCTCCTGCCAATCTCAGCCTTGTCAGCTTATCCAGCATCTCCTGTTTCATCTGGCCCCAGGGACGTTGCACGTGCCATCCCCGGTGTCTGTCCTCACCCTTGGGATGTGGGTCCCCTCCCCCGCAGTCAGTCACTGTTTCCAGTTCTCAGTGTAGGTGGGATTTTAGCCACTTGTCTCTCTTGACAAATTGTGCACCTGGTCACTGAGGGCAGAACCACGTCAGACAGTCTTCCTTGTGTCCAGGCCTAGGGCCCGGCCCCAGCAGGTGCGCACGACCCTCTCGGGGAAGGCACCGCTGCAGACGCGTGCCGCACGTACAGGAAGGCCCTGGTCTCAGTCTCCTGAGAGAGAGGGTGGAAGCTTCTGGGTGAAGCTGAAGACTGGCTCACACGCCTTGAGCCACATCCCTCCTACAACCTGTCAATAGCACGTAACCTTGTGTGCAATCTTCCAAAACCAGATGAGGAAGTAGAAAACTTGAACATGCCAGCGACTAGTAACGCAACGGAATCCGTGATCAGAGATCTCAAAGCGCACAAAATTACAGGACCGGACGGCTTCACCAGTGAATTCTACCGAATGTTTAAAGAAGAGTTAATACCGGTTCTCAAATTACTGCAAAAGATAGAAGTAAAGCTTCCAGATTTGTCCTGTGAGGCCAGCATTACCCAGATAGCAAACCAAACACAGTTAGCCAACATCAGGCCAAGAGCTCTGAGAAGTAGATACGGAAATCCTCAACCAAGTACCAGCGAATCGAATCCAGTGATCATTCACCTTGATCGAGTGGGTTTATTCCAGGGACGCCAGCGTGACTCAGCAGTCACAAAGCAACACGGTTTGTCACGTCAACAAAACAGAGGATAAAAACCGCACGATCGTTTCACCAGATGCAGAAAAAGCAAAGGAAAGCTTTTGACAAAGTACAGTCTGTTCACGATAGAAACGAAGGGTCAGAGGGGACGTGTGTCAACATGATAAAGGCCTTATTACGGGACAGACCTGCAGCTGGGGAAACAGAGCTGCTCCTCTGAGATCAGACAGTAACTCGAAGCTACATGGAGAAACAAGGGTCTCGGGAAAGGGAAGCATTGGGGCAAAAGCTAGTGTGACTGTGACGACAGGCTCTGACTATACGCTGGGTTCTTCACGTGACTGAAGACTAAGACTCCGAAAGAAACAAATAGTAATTAAAAGCTACTCTTAACCGTAACTGGTTTGTGATTACATATCTTGTTTTATATGTACGCTAGGAGATAGAGCATTTGAAAGGATGACTATTTATGCCCCCGGGCACACGGTGTACCAAGAGGTAAGACC